CCAACAGGAAGATTGTATAGAAGCTTAGTAGAGTTCATGTGACAGTCGCCGTGAAATATTAGGAAAGTTTCGAGTCAACGAACTTTCTTGTTAGAATTTCTGCGAGCATTCAAGATCACATCATTACGTCTATTTGTAGAAAATGTACAAAATGCTTTTTTTATCAAAAATTTAGTCAAAAATCTGGAATATTTAGAAAATTCAAAAACGGATTGAAAGAAATTGGTTGGGAATCGTGCAGATTAAGTCTTTGTACATGTCGGCTGTTTTCTTCGTAATTAATAGTTAAAAAATTATCCCAACAATTTTCATAAAACCTTTTTTCACCATAAATACCATGGTCTTAATGAACATACTGAAATATTAAAGATCTACGACAAATAGTGCAATTAAAAATCCTAATTGAAATTTCGATTAATCGTGTGTAATAGTGTTAATTTTAATCTGTGCATTATTTAAACTGATAGTGGAAAATAACTAAACTGTCTCAAAAAAGTGTCCGAATCGAATAATTTGCAATGGTTTCCTAGAAAAATGCTCCACAGCTACTAGGTATACTTATAATTCACTCAAAAATTAATTTAATTGAGTTATAATTGATTAAGTCGGTTATTTATATATGTCAGATAATCCATGCAAAATGCCACTTACTCCTAGTTTTGCCACGGAATACTCCTCGTGAAGCCACATGATAATAATAACTGGATTTACGTTAATAATAAATAATGATGTTAAAATTTATTAATGAAAAGTTTTTGTTAATTGTTTTTGTTATCTTGAAAGTTATATCTATCTAAAAATTTATGCAGTTGGAAGACAGTTAAATAACAATATTTATAAAATCATTTATTATCACTCTTATAGTAAGATTATGGAGATCATAAATATTGATTATTAATGGTTATGACCATTATTAGGACTATGTAATAACATAGATTTAGAAAAAAATGAGACGTATTATTACAAAACCTGTTAATGACAAATCATTACAAGATTCTCTGAAAAATTTGTTACTGAATAAATTTATTTTTCTACTTATCTTGACAGTGAATACAGTTTCCAAAATGATGGTTTAACAAGTTATTCTATACTTTGAAAATAACGATAATATTCCATATATACATAATATACAATGATACTTTCAAAAGTATCTGTTCGCGAAACTTCTGATAGTTTGCTCGGAAATAGAATAAATGATTGAGAAATACAATAAATAGAACTTGTGCAGCGATAAAGTTTAAAGTTCGGCATGTTCATATAAAGTCATTTAAATGGATGGATGGCATTTGAGGGTAAGAATATTGAAAATTCTATTTCGTAAATAATGTGACGATAATCAATATTATCGTCTTATTGATAATTATTGTCGCCTGATGGTCGTCCACCCCAAAGATTTGAATGATCTCAAAAACATTCAATTTGTAATGATTGGGAGAAGAGGTGATTAGTTTTTGGCAAAGACAGATCCCGCCATTTCGAAGATACAGAGCTAAATGTGCAAAAAATGACAGTTTTTGAGTGAACTGAGCGTCCGATTTGAATGATCTAAAAAACTCTCTGCTTGTATTGACAAAACAATTGCTTTTGAGGATAAAAAAAATTCACATCTTTTTTTATTTTCCATAAAATATTTTTGTAATTTTGGATTAAAAATTCAAAAAATTACCCAGGCTAAGCACAGTCTAAGCGCCACTCTGGTAGAAATGTTTACCCAAGTGCGTTTAGACTGTTTATGTACTGGAGCACTTTTCAATTTTTTTGAAAACTATTAAAAAATGTGAAAATGCCGCCAAGCTAAGCACAGTATAAGTAAAAATGTCGCACAGAATTATCTGCAAATGCGTTTAGACTGTAACTATAATTTTGTGTAAATTAGGCATCTATTTTTTTTTAAATTGAATTCGAAATGAAATGACGATTGTTAATGTTCTGGAGATAAATTGATTTATGATTTACATTTGATTTGCTCAGATATAACAAGATAACCAAAATAATGAAAGTTACAGTATTTGTAATAATATATTTGAAAACGTTTAAAATTTCTTGAATACTTCATTACGGTACGGAAAGTTCCAGCAATTTGCCTTAAGGCACGATGCCATACACCACTAGTTTATTAATTAATGTTGATTACAAATTAGTGGATACACCCAATGGCGCATACTATATACTACTCAACTAGAGCAGTCTAAAAAAATGATGGAGATATTTGAAAAAAAAAAATACAACAAAAGTGTAACTAGAAAAATTTACGATGCAGGTTAGAACAGCATACTTCTAGTTGAGCAATTAATTTTTTCCACGGCTTCGTATGCAAGTGCCAAAAGGTCTTTACAAGCAAGCCTTGAGTTTGCGTCTGACAGGAATGTATCACGCATAGCAGCCGTCATAATATCAATAGGGTATAATGCAGACGATAGGTCGATGGTATGTAAGGTATGCCCAAGGTACCTTCTATACCAAATCCCAAGTGATGCGGGGAATTTACCCTATGGGTGACTTACCCACCTGACAACTGCATTCGATATCAACTAAAGTCAAATATTTCATTAACCGAGGCGGCAAATTAGTAGAGTCGATAAAAACGCAAGATATGCATCTTTAAGACATTGATCTTACAAACTTTTTTTTCTGGCGATTTATTGAGTATAATCTCGAAAATATGTTTGTCAGGGTCTAAAAATATCCTAAACTGGTTCATATATCAGTACAACAATATACTCTCTATATAGGAGAAAGTAATACAGTTTGCAACCAAACACAAAGTAAGAATGATCTTCCATTCAAATCAATTAGCTCGAAACCTTTTAGCTTTCCAAAAATAAGCAAAATAACACACCTAGAACTCGTAAAGAATTTTAATTTCTGGTATATATATATATATATATATATATATATATATATATATATATATATATATGCAAAGCAAAGCGAAAAATGCGGGCGCACTGAAGGAAGCGCCAACACGAGATTCGGAAAAAAATTATAACATATTATTTATATTTTCTTTTAACTCTTTGGGGACGGCTGTCTACCTGAGTGGACAAACATACTCTGTGAGGCACAGGCTATTTTATAAACAATGACTCGGTTTGCATCGAAACGTTGAATAAATTACATAATATGCTATATGCTATATGCTATATGCTACATTATAGCAGTGATAAACAGTCTTGTATTTTGAAAATAATTTTATGTTATTTTAGTAGTATTTTTAGCCTTTTTCTTTGCTATATAGACTTTTTTAATATTTAAAACGACCGAGCGCTTTTAAATATGGCAAAACGACTGGGAAATTTTGTGAATTAAGCAGTAGTAAAGATGAGTTTCAAATAGACATTCATACGGACGAATTTTACGAAATTACTATTCGCTCCGATGATAGTGATGAATGTGACGATGATATTATTCAACCAAAAAAAGAAGAAGAAGTTTGACAAATTAAATTTAATGAAGGGTAAATGTCCTTCGGTGTCTATTAATAATAAAACTATCCCTGAATCTGCTTCTGTAAAATATTTGCGAATGCACTTGTATAGCAAATTAAATTGGATTACTCATATTAACAGCAAAACAAAATAAATGGAAAGAAAAATGAAATCACTGTTCTAGCTTATTAATGGTAAATCTAAATTATCATTAGAAAACAAAATTCTACTTTATAAAGCGACAATAAAACCGATTTGGACTTATGGCGTAAAGTTGTGGGGCAGCGTCAGTAAATCAAGAATTTCATCTATCCAAAGGAAACAATCAAACATTTTAAGGTGTATTGCCAATGCACCTTGGTATGTCAGCAACCGAATATTACATAACGAATCGAATTCATCACGATAAGAAAATCAACCACAATAACTCCACATTAATTTCTGTATTGCAAGCATCACATATATATTAGAAGATTGAAGAAGAAGCATCCCTTCGATCTAATGCATTAAAATGGAGTAGTCCACTGGGGTGATCTCCGTCACGTCATGAGAACTATATATGTTATGCCAAATATTATATAATCATTGCAAATTCAAGCGTTATTCGATCATTTTTTACTTGTTAGTAGCTATATCAACTACTTTCTCCAATTAAAATCAAATGATTTTTTTAGCAATTTAATGAAGGATGAATAATTGAACTTTTCATTTTATGAAAACAAAATATTTAATTAAAATTACATGAATGTTATAACAGAGACAACTTCATAAATTTAATTGCTGAAATTATGATATTCCGATATTCAAATTGTATATCTTCATAAATGTTGTAAATCTATTGCATTGCTGCAATAAGTATTAGAAAACAAATCTAATGAAAATCTCGTTAGATAAGGAATAGTCAACCACTGGCTTGCATTCGAATAACACTAGGTTAATGAATCACATCACAACAGAGCTAATGGAACATTAATTGTTCTGGTAGCTGTTCAACCAAAAACAGCAAAATTATTGTTTGAAATATTCCGAACGATAATTACTTACCACCAAAAAAAAATTAAATACCAAATGATACACATATTAGGTATAAGAAGTATATTAAATGCTTACCTCGATGATGCGTCTTATCATTCAGGATATTAAAATGCACCGAAGCGTCTGCCGGAATTATCACTTATGTCCAATGTCTGCATAAACCACTATCACCACAAAAAATATCAAAAAATATTTTTAGTTCTTTCATCAAACTAACAGTAAATTCATCTTCACAAAATTAAATGAATTGCATAAGCAATAACTAAAAATTATCTTGATTGCACAATTCCGCACACATTGCACTACAAACACACAATAACTTACTACATGACAATTTACAATGATGTATATAATAAACCGCAATGAATTTACCTGTTTATCACAGAAAACACGTTTGTACACCCGCAAGAAAAAAAAATCACCCTCAACAGCGTCTTTTATAACTCTGCGGCCATCTTGCGGCATTTTCGGGCAACTCAACCGTCATTTTAAACTGTCAGAGTTGACATTTAAGAAGAAATGTAACATAACCTAAAACAGCAAAAATATTTTATTAAAATTTTTGTTTATTAAATAAGTTTTAGTGTAAATTCTAGTTTTAACATATAATTATTTGTGATGTTTGAAATCGGTGATGAAAATGAATTCTCTGAAGAAAATGTGTGGTGTGATCTAGCTAATATTCCAGCAGATCCTCCTAAAATGAGAGATGTTTGTGTTCAATGTGGGTAAGTAAGTTATTTTATATTTGTATTTAATTACGAGGATTATTTCTTAGCTTTGTTGTAAGATAAATATGTGCTAGTATATACACTATTCTTATATTTACCATTTAACAAATATGTGTTAAGTGACCAAATCAAACCTAACCTTCACATACCAATATCCTTATTGATTTGGTCATAGTCCTAATTTTTCTTATCTATAGTCCTAATTTTAGTTTAGACGCACTACGAAGATTGATATTTATTTATGTTGTATTTAATAACACATATAGAGGCTCCCTCAAAGTACGAACAAACCCTCTATTTCAAATTTATTATACTTATTTATTTATATGTTTATCGACTACTTTATAGCTTAACTTACTGATAATAAGTACTCTTCTTTTCTTGCATTTGAACTAGTATTATATTCTTCACAGAGTACTTTTTTTACAGATCCCTATAATTTAATGTGATAAAACTGTCTATAGTTTTGTTAGAGCCTAACAATCGATACATCTAGCTTTTCTACCTAAATGTAATAAAATATATTTACTCTAGGCACTAGGATAGCTTTTAAGAAATTCATCTTCAGTTTGTACGTATACCTTGACCCGATAACATCTAATACAATTTACTAAAATTAAATATAAGCCTTTAGCTTAGCCTGATATAGCCTTTTTGATAATTAATTATATCTGGTCCTTCAGGGTAATAAAGTGTCCGTGTGTATTGATTTTTTAATTGACTTTTTTTAATAAACATTGCTTTGGGCGCTTACATGTTTATTATTATCATCAACTGAAATATCACTGGATATAAATTATAAAGAAATTTTCTTCTATAAAATGTACTCTATGTTCTCAACTTCAGAATATGGAAAGTAGTTCTATTTATCTATACAACATTATACTCGACTCAAAAATTAAAATAATATAATCTGTTTAAATAAGACTAAAATAACAATTCTTAGTCGTTAGTTCTATTGTATTTTTTATAGTAATTTTATAATACCATCACCAAAATCCTATCCAAGTTTCTTCTTCCTATTTATTGTTTTCTTCTGTGTGGATCGCAAATAAATCTAGATGCATGATTTACCTCATAAGTCTAAACCAGCAGCATCTTTCTAATTCTAGTCGACCTTTAACTGTGTGTTGGTGCCCAGCGCTTCCCTCAGAACCTTTGAACCCAAAAAGCACTGTAGTGTTGTTACAACATCCAGCTGAAGAGCGAAGATGTTTACGAACTGCTCCAATGCTCACCTTAGGACTAAAGCCTGGAAAATGTCTAGTCTATAAAGGAAAAAAGTTTCCCCAGCCTAAACATGAAGGTCTTGAAAACTTACTGTCTTTAGAGAATACGATTTTGTTGTATCCCAGTAAAAAGGCTGTTGATATTAAGGATCTTCAATCAGGTCCGCTTTCAGGCTGTTATAATTTAATTCTTATTGATGGAACATGGCCTCAAGCTAAAGCTATTTATGCCAGTAGTCCAATGTTACATAATTTAAAACAAGTGAAATTAGTTTATACAGGTGTGAGTAATTATATAATTCGTACACAGCCTACCGAGGGTTGTTTGAGTACCTTAGAAACTGCTGCCGAAGCATTAGCTATTTTAGAGAATAACAATATATATAGGGATAAGTTAATTCAGCCCTTGCATAGTCTTTGTAAATTTCAGTTAGAAAATGGGGCTGTTACTCATCAATCAAAAGAATTTCGGTTAAAAAATAATACTTATCCGAAACTGATAGGTAAAAGGCTTTCAAAGCTTTTAAAGAGTACTGATGTTCATAAAACTTAATTACAATCTTTAACAAATAATTGTTTGTGATTTATAAATAAGATTGAAATAAGTCTTACTAACAAATAATAATTTATTTTCTTTAAAATACTATTACAATATTAAACAGTGGACTAAACAGATTATTAAGATTATTAATAACTTTTCCTATTAGGGCAACGATTACAAATTTTCTTAAATGTTTTAATTTTAAGACCTGTAGTAATTGTTATTCGTTCGCATCATTTGCAACATCGATATTCAATGGCTAAGTTTTCTAATCAAGTTATTTTTTAAATAACTCAGTGCGCACAATGATAATGTATAAAATAGTGGATGAAATTCATTTACAATTGTTGACTGATCTAAATTGTAAAAGAATAGATCAGTATTTTAATGGCATTATTTATTAAGTTTTTATATAAAAATGAAAATATTTGGCAAGTTAAATAACTATAAATTATAATAATGAGAGAAATTTGAGAAAATATTTTTATCCATGACTATAGTATAGCTCTTACTATTGTAATATGTTATCAAGTTTAATCAACCAAAATAGTTCAAAAGCTATCATCTGCATCTAGAAGGTTTATAATTCCCATTGTATAGATAATGGAATAAATTCATTCCTTTTTTATAGACTATTTTAAAATTATAGTTATAATTATAGGTTTTCTATAAATTACCAACTCTGATTTATTTATAATCCATGAATGATAAGCTCCAATATATGAACTATTTCTGCCAGTTGATCAAACTCTATTTGAACTCTAACAATAAGTACAATATGTAATAAGTGCTTGGTCTTTTTCCTTAAAACTTATATAATATTTGGTGAAAAATCTAAGCTAACAATAAATATTAAATGATAAATATATTATCTGTTTTCTTATATGACTATAGAGAGATATGCTTGGAAAATGTACATATGCTAAATACCATTGAAAATAGTTTAGAGAGGGATATACAGAAATATATTCCATTTGTAAATGGTTTATAGATATGAAATATATTGTTATTGCAAGTGTTCTTAGCAAAATATAAAAATATTTTTTTTTCTATTTCTATTATTGTTTTCTTTGTCGTCTATAAATTATTCATTTTAGTGCAGTTATAATTATTGCTTTTGAAATTATAAAGTGACTGAGTATTTAACACTATTAATAATTTGCTATATCCAGATAACACTATTTCACGACATACATCAAAACCACATACAAGGTAAACGATACACAGACCACCTTACCTTAATAATTTTGAAGAAACTAATCAACACTTTCATTAATAACATTCTAAAGTATCTGCTAACACATTTTTAGTACAAGGATTCCACATATAACGATTTTAACGTACATATTATATAGTGGACTTACCAATACAAGAGTGCTTTCTTTATAGATCCAGTTTTATAATAAATGCATTAATAATTGTAATGATACGTGTTGTGCCAGTAGCAGTGCAGTCTAGCAATCATACTAGATTTTTTAGATATAATTACAAATCTCCATTATCTATAGCCTTATTCATATCTGACACAATTTTTCCCATTATTTCCCGATATGGTGAGTCTGATCTGAAGGCACTCTCCAAAAATTTGGGATCGTTGAAGAAACCAAATACTTCTTGTATTCGATTAACAGACTTATCTGTTAGATGCCTTTGGACTAGTTGGATTAAAAGATTCTGACAGTCTCTAATCGTTTTTTGAAGATAGGGAAGATCAAAACTATAATCTACTTCGTAAAATGATATGATGGACATTTTCAGATTCTAAAAGAAAAATACATTTGTTGCATATTTATGTTATAATAATATTGTCTCATTTTTCAAGACATATATATTACCTTAAATTTATTTTGGAACTGATGGGCAGCATTGAGTTCATCATTATTGAATTGGTAATTCCTATGCAATACGCCAACTTTTATCACAATCTTTATTATATTTTTAACAATCTTTTCTGCTTCTTTTTTGTTTCCAGTCTAAAAATAAACGATTTGTTAATAAAAATTTATATATTTGCTTTGAATAATTATGATCTTACATATTGCTTTAGTAGCCTATAAACGTTATCCAGCAACGAAGAAGTTGTACCATCTATGAAGACTTTTGCAACGCTTTTCGTTGCCATTCGTGATAATATTTTTTTCTGGGCGCGTAGCCCAATATCTTGCGCTTTGAAAGCATTGTCCGTCATAACTGAAAAAAGAATTTAAATTAAATTTAAATTACAAATTTGTTAGAATAATCTCTAAATAGATTCATTATATAAATTATTGTATATATTATAAAATTTGATATGAAATATATATTAACCGAGTCTAATAATCGGGCTATTATTCAACCAATAAAACAACAAATATTTTAAAATTCATACGTTTCGGATATAGTTTTAACCTTCTTTCAGTGGAAAAGAAAGAATTTCAAGAATAAAATATGCAATTCTTTTTATCTTAATAATGTGTAATTAATAATTAAAATCAGAATATTATAACTTTGAAATTGCTAAATTGAAAACAGAAATAATAATTCATAGTACAAACATCTAACTAACGAAACAATTTTTAACAAGAGGATGTGTATGAGATCAGTAGAATAAATGCAGATGTGGTAATAAAAAGATGTTTAAAAACATATTTTTAACAACGTTTTAAAAAATTGAAACAATTTGTTAAATTTTTCTCTGGTTATTTCACAATTAGTTTCACAAATTGGTTTATATATTTTTATAAGTAAAAAATCAATGTGAATGTTTATATTGCAAAGAGTATTGGTATTTGCTATATTATATCCTCAAACAGTAAATTATTATTTTTTTAAATTATTTCTAATACTAATTTTGTTTTTGGTTTTTTAGTTCCACTGAATAAATCCTAGGTCTATAGCCGAACAGAATGAATTTTAAAATAATTGATTTGGTTTCTGAACTTCTGAACTAACTTAAAAATCTCAATTAATGATTAGAAGAAGGCTTATTTTCCGATATATTTCGAAACATAGTTTGTGGTGCGTCATTAAGTACCTGAAAAAGGGGACATCCCATATCTCCAAAACGTCGAATAAAATAATTGCAAAAATTTAAATAAAAAATGAAGAAAAAAAGTATACTATAAAGGATATATCCTTTATTCAGAAGTTTAAAAATCAAAATTAATAATATTATTCAGAAAACTTTAACGTAAATGTGAAAGTAAGTCTTCTTGTATACATTTCATCATGATTCCTTGAATTGATTTTAATTAATGAGAAATGTTGAAATAAACAAAGAACAAATAAACATAAAATTAAGTGCAGTGAAATGGTATTATTCATAAAAACTTAAATATAATAACTTAATACAATAAGCAAAAATAACATTCTTACCTGTGTCTAACATTTGTACAAATCAAATAGCAACTCAAAATGAAAACATAAAAATGCAGTAATCTTGACACTTTATCAATACGTCAATAAGCAAGGGGACTGCGTACTTGCAATTCTGTAAAATGAAATTAAGATAACACAAAAATAAATAATGGTAATTTATGATAAAAAAATCATATCACTGATAAGAAATCATAAAATACTTCAAAATAATAATAGTAACACAAAGTCTTTTATATTATAACAAAAAAAGTAAAAAACGAGTAGTAAATTAATTGAAAGGTGATAAATTGAGCTATGTGTGAGTCACATTTTTCCTCAAGGCAAGTTGCATAAACATAACGATATGTGTGAGTATGAGATCAATAAGAATTATAGATTTGAAAACTTTTCGAACTATCAAAATAAAAATTTTAACAGTAATTTTTCAATAATATGTTCACTCATTCATAGAACAATTCAATCTGCTTTTGGAACAATGATTTACAAAGAAACTGCTCAGCCTATCTTTACCACTAACCAATCAGCACGATTCCTGACTATTCCTTTAGTTTTTTAATTCTCAAAATAGTTACAGCATTTTTACTAATAACGTTTGTAGTAATAACGTTAAATTTTTTGTACTTTTAGAGAAAACATTGACAAAATAAGATCAAAGTTAGACTCACATACATTTTTAGAAAGATTCAGATTGTCTTGAAAAAAAATAATAAAATGAGCAAATCGGGAGCTAAAAATATTTTTGTACATTAAAAATAAAAACTATATGATAATTAAATTAAAAAAACGTGTCCATGCGGCTTTCTACATTTGCATACGTGATTTTTATGATATAATCATGCTAATGTAGCGTTCTAACTAGATTCCAGTAATCATTTTGATACTTCGCATTCTTCAACGTTTAGAGCAGGTTTGAAGGCATGTGCTCGACTAAGTATCAATTTACTTACATAAAAAGCAAAAGACAAAAATTATACCTATCTGATAAAATGAATATTATTTTACCATTCGTGCCAAACAAAAACAGTCGTTATGATAATATTTTTAAGTTGTGAATCAAAGTGTTCATTTATTTTGTTGATAATTTAGAGCAAAAATATTTGATAACTATGTTACGAGTTTTTTAATATAGTTTATAAAATACATATCAGATGATTACTTACACAAGCAATTTGCGCATTCTATCGTGATTCGTTGATAAATGAGCCAACCTTCAAATTCAATCAAGGCAGGAGAAGACATCTGGAACGAATTATATCATTGATAAATTTATTTCAATCACTTAAATAATATTAGAATGAATTTTATTTTATTAGCCTACGACATTAACCCTTCCTTAAACTCTTTTTAAATAATCTGGATAAAAAATCATCAATAATTCAACAAATCTATACTAGTTTAGGAAATATTTCTTAATCCTATAACAGATTTCTTATTCCTAAAACATGCTGGTAACTTTTTCTTCAAGAAAACTTTTTCTAAGAACGTAATCTTTGTGATAATGAATTATTATATTTAAACAAATGATTCATGTTAAAACATATGTGTCAGCTTATTGAATTAGTTCACCATATACAATAAAACCGCGTATGACGAAGCTTTATTAATATTTATTCTAAACAAATTTTCCTTATCAAAACGGAAGCGTAAATTTTTCACTTAATTGCATTTTATGTTAAACAAATATTTATATTTATTATTGTTAATGTATAATTGTCAAATTACAATAAAATGCTTTAGAATTAATTTTGCAGTTGGTTGAAAATATGTTTTAAATCAAATTTATTGATTATACTCATTGTTGAATGAATGAATTAATTAATATAAAGAATATTCAATTTCTCTAGAAAGACGAAATAAACTTGGTCATTATCCTTCTTTACCTTGTCAATTAAATTCATTTGCAAGTAACCTGTGATTGTTTTGAACGGACTCATTTTTTGATCCAATATATTTACATTTTTAAATTACAAAATGCAAGGCTTGTTTAACATTTTTAAAAATTACTACATATTTTTATTCAACAATTAGCAATTTTATGATATGTTTGTTCTCATTTCGAAATGATATTGAGTTTATTATATGTATAACTAGAAAATATGCGTGTACAACTGATTACTTATCTATTGAATTGACACAATTAACGTAATTACTAGCCGGGTATTTTTCTCGTATTTATTACTTATAGCGAGAATTCTGCTGAAATATTGTATTTTCCTATACGTAAAGGTAATTATTTAGCAAACAATACTATATTAAATATTTACATTGAAAAATGAAATAAAACTATTATTCATTATTTAAATTAAAAGTTTGACTAACATCATTCACTCATTTTATATAGACGATAGGCGTATAAAATATTTCGATTAAAAATCAAAACGGGTTTGGTTATTAATATCTTGGGATTAAATATATTCACCCGGCACACTTGATATTGAATTCAATAATACTCGTGATGAACGCAGAATTTAATTTTGCTATAGACCAAGACTCTGAATCGTTTTTTAAATCAACTGAATAAATTTTTGATATTTGAAAAGATACTTAATTATTTTCTCGAAAGATGAGCAAGAAAATGAAAAAAAAAGTTCTATATCCTCTTTTTAGTATCATAACAGGACTTGTGCATATATATATATATATATATATATATATATATATTTAATTAGTCTCGAATTTGATGTTAAAAAGTCGGGCGTAAAATAAAAATAGTGTGAGAGTTTTTTAAAAAAAGTTATTTATTTAAAATCCATACGTTTCGGCTAGCATCTTAGCCTTCATTCAGTGGAAATCAATTTAAAGTTTTGTATCCTAATATAACATCCATGATCCATGGTATGAGTATGTGCACATTAATAAAATATATATAATAGGTTTTAACATCGCAGATGGTAAAACACACTTATAAACATGATAACTTAACAAGTTGTCGAAACTATGTATTTACTGTTCGGAGTTTGAAATAGAAAACTTCTAAATCGCTCAAAATCTATCATTTCCCAATTAACAATTAGTTATATATTTATTATTATTTTTATTATATAGTATTATTGCATTACATATATATTGACATGTGTTAACAAATAACGATTATTTCAAAAGAGTAATGAAGATAAGCATCATGTAAAGTATCTTGTTGATGCAAATAATTCTAATGCAAACTATTTTCTATTTGTGACCAATTATGATATTATTGGTCATAGAAAATGTTAGACACAGTCATAATATGACAGTTTTTATACAGGTAGTTTTTACAGTAATCATAACTATTTATATGTTCTATTGTTGTACTGAGTTGTACTGAGCACAGCTTGTCACTAATTATAAGACGATTTTGTTGTTAGTAGGCAATCCATTGATTGTCCTTAATCTATCTGAGATGCAGATATATCTTATATTAAATGCTATTAGAAAACAACCCCGCGGGCGTTATTCTAATTGAGATATTGCAGCAATGCCGGATTAAGGGCTGTTTTCACTTGGAAACATATTGCTATTTATATTTCGAAGTGAAAATCTTGGTAGCTCAAAGCGGGTATCGAACACGGGACCTTTTTTTTTTTTTTTTTTTTTTTTTTTTAAACTTTATTACTAATTATTTTTTCTTTTTATCTTACATACTACATATATTTTACTTTTTCTTTACATATTTTTACTGTTTTTTTATTACATTTTTCTTTACGAATATTTCTTCCAAGGGCAGGTCCGTGGGTTGAGTTGAAAATGCACTCAATCATGGTTGCACGATGTCAGAGCCTTTACATTTTTCTGTTGTATAGGGATACAAATTCGACTTCCTTTTTGTATTTCAAAGCGATACCATCTTAGTACCTCTTTACTTCCAAGTGGCGTGTTGCCACTACAGCTTTGCCCACGAAAGGCCATTTTCACTTGAAATCATATTTGAAATCTATGATTTCAAGTGAAAATTTGGTATCAAGCTGTTTTGATACCGAACCGACCGAGGTTGGATTCGAACCCGGGACTAGGATTTGCTAGCCCACGTTCTTACCACGGGACCACGGCCGGTCCCCCACCTTTGAATCAAATCCAGTCGTTGTTAACTGTTTATTTACGGGCGAGCCCTAAATATGATATAAAATCATAAACCTTATCCCAGCTTTTTTAATTACGTAATAGCACACCAGTTTTTACTCTACTTCAAATTCGCGGGCCTCGCATGTCACAGCTATAAAAAAGCACGACTTTACAACGTCGAAATTACGTCCGTATTTCGTATCACACATGCTATTGTACATTCGGTCCCATATGTACATGAAGTTCTCGGTTTCGTGACTGTGAGTCGTAATATACCTATATATCGAGCGAATGTTTTTTTGACGAAGGTCGCCAGCCGTACCTTGACGGTTGTCGAGGCCTCCGATCCAAGAGGGTTGGGGTGCGAGAATTCATAACTATCGCGTAGTACCTCGACGCAAGGGTACCGGCAACGAAGAACACAGCAGAAGGCCGCACAACAATCGATATTGCGACTTCAAACAAATGATTCCTACTTACGGCGGGATTTATGGGGAGACGGTGTGTGCACAGCGAAATCATTTCGGTTATTCGTGAGAAAATCGTTATTGATGAAAAGCACGCAGTCCACTGTCGGCAGATTTCGCACACTGAAAACCCATGTCGGAGATGATCTCAGAAACTCGTTTGTAATATAGATTACGTCGTAGGCATAAATTATATCAATAGTTTAATCTTAATATTTATGTTAATTAACTTGCTAATTACTGCGCATCCTGTTGATTATATTATCTTTATAATTGTGCTTGTTAAACTCTGGCGTGAGTTTGGCACATATTTAAATCAAGCTGTTGTGATGTTTCACCTAACTACCATATTCTATCTCAAAGTAGATACATTTTATTATGGCAATTTCTGTAATACTAATGAATTTTTTACTGATGTACCCAGGTAAGAGCTCTTTTCACTTGGAAACATATTGTTACCTTAGATAGCAATCAGTGTTGACATTGGTTTTATATATAGGTAGCCTACCTACACTGATTGCTATCAGGCTGTCCACACCTGGGACCTTTGATTGATCCCAAATCCCAAAGCTCAAACCATAAATACCTGGAGGATCATATTTGAGATTAGACTGGATCGTGCAAATTTGTTAAAATAAATTTGTATCGAGAAATATTTTGTATCAATCTGGCATTCAATTAACTCTGGATCCTAAATATACAATCAATTACTAAGAACCTTAGTTTTTCCTTTATGTATTATAAGCAGTAATCAGGACTAACTAAAAGATGTTCTATAAGCTTAGAGAAAACAACGCAATGGTTTTTCCTCTTATGCAAAACAACAGTATCCTATTATATAGACTGCTTATATTGACCTACCATTTATTATGACTTGACTACACCATCAAGTTTAGTTATCATATAAAAATCTTCATAAAAATTTCAGTTATAATGACGACATTTCGCTTATTAGAACCCATTTTTGGTCAATATGAGCTGCGGAATCAGTATCAAGATTTGTTCATAATGTTAGAATGATAATTTGATCACCATATTGCTTTTATACAAAATGTTATTAAAATTGTTTTAGCAATTGAATGAAAAATTGATATCCGACACAAATTACAGATTGCAATTTTCATTCCCATGATAATTATTTAGTAAAAGAACTTTTACACAAAACGCTTGATATGACGTCTGTTTATCATGACATATTCTTGAAGTTCCTTCTATGTCATCATAAACTGATTCAACAGTATTTATTTTTTTACTTATATCTTGAATTCATAGAATCAATGACCAAAAAGCTATTTCAAGTAAGCCTTAGTGACTATGTTTCTCTTGAATAAAAGTATATAGGAAAAGCTACCCGACCTTGAAAATCTAACCTTATTCAATAGTCTTACGTGAATTGAATACCAATCTAATGTCAGTCTTAAAATGCAAAGTAAAAATGTAAATGTTTTTTCATTCTGTATCGAAGCTCGACACCGGGTCAAAATGTAGGTTCACATAATTAATTTGAAGAGAATAAGATATCACAATAATTTTAAAAGTTTTTCAATTTGCTGTGCATCATTATATGTTTTATATTTGGTTGCAAGTTGTTAGGTTTGATTGTAGTGTATATAAAAAAGTAAAAGATAATTTTTAAAATGTTCAAGAAATTATTTTCTGAATAAACAAAGCAGACTGTCCTTCATAAATTTATCAAATCTTCTAAAAAATGTATTATCAATAATTTCTTTACGA